TAATTATCATAACTAAAGCTGCGGAATGAAAATATGAATGAAAACATTCATTCACAAAAACGAAAAAGAATCAGTGAACTCACATTGGAAACTTTGACAGAGGTGCGCAGATTTCGGGGTGCAGGTTCCCCCATGTCTCTGGTTTGTCTAGTTTGCAGGGTGTGAGCAGCAGCCAATGATCGAGGCAAGACTTCAGGAGGAGGGCCAAAGATGTCATTTCCAGTGAGTTCCTTGGACTTGGCATTTGATACGCTCTTCTTGGATTTTGAATCTGAGTCGGACTGCAATGTCCCACTCAATTCACGCTGCTTGGCAACCTCAGGAACAGTGACAGGCTTCTTGGGCGTGACATGTTCATCAACACTGAATGAGATTTGACTGACTCCATTGAGTGCTTGCTGATAAATACGAAGCCCCGTTTTGTTACTAGCATCATTAGATTCTGGTGCAGCATCCTTGCCTGACCCAGCTGCAAATATACCATTTCCAGTAATCTCCTTCAATTTATGGCCTGAACAAGGCTTCCTGTACCGCATTTCGTCTGGGTTTTAGATTTACACTACAATATTGGTGATTAACCATATACTCAAAAGCAGTGATTTCTTGCGGGATCTAAGATAGGTAAATTTTGAAAAAGAGAAACGAAATTATTGGGTTTCATTGCATGCATTTGTAGACCATACACTAAATAAAGATCACATCAATCAAGCATACGTGGGTTAGGCTAGTCGGCCAAGCCAGTGCCACCGTCTCGTAGATTAGAGCAATTTAGAATATCGTCTTATCACAAGAGATAAATTAAGATCACATGCATATAAAACAATCAAAGTTGATATTTTTCTGATCAGAAAACAGAAATGCTTGTAGCCTTGATTCAGCAGTTTGAGCAGGTTAATGGGCCAGCCATTAGCAGAAAATTACAGTAACGAAGCATGCATTACTAAATTAGTAGCTGGATCTGAGCTGAGAGAAGAGATCTTACTGTTTGTTGAGGCTCTGAGCTTCTTCATCAGTGATCTGACCGCCATGGAGCACCTTGCTGATTCCATCGGACGGCTGAAATGCACCGCTTGAGCTTAATTATTTCTCAATACATCACCACCAAGAAAGAAAACAAGAAGAAATTGACATTTGACTACTAAGTAGGTGTTCAAAGTGGAAGGTAAAGCAACCTGATGAGAGCGGTGGGCGGAGGAGGCGGTGGCCGGAGAGTCGGAGTGTGGGACCTCTTTCCACGTCAGCATATCGGCAGTGTCTCTGCGAGGCTTTCTCGGTGCTGTTCTCTCCATTGTTTTCGGCCTCACTCTCTTCCTCTGTCCCTCTTCCCCGTTTGGCTTTTGGATGATTAGAAAATAGCAGATAATAAATAAATAAACAAAAAATGTTATTGACATTAAAAAGAAAAGGAACTTTAACGAAAAGCACCTGGTACTGTTCATTTTAACGAAAAATCACATTTTTACACTAAAAAGTCAATCCTGGTACTATTCACTTTACCCTTTATTTTGTCCTTATAATTAAAACTCAAAGTTTTCAAACCATTTTCATTAGTTTTCCAAAAAGAAAAAGGTAAATTACGTCTTAATCTCTCAAGTTTCATTCACTTGCCGTTGCAATCTCATCTAATATCTTTAAACATTTTAATGTCATAAATTTATTATTATTTTATTACAATTTCATATCTCAAAAGATTTTAGGTAAAACAAAAAACTAAAAGCAAATGGTCATTTATTACAGTAATAAAAAAAATTTAAACCATTACATGACGGTATGAATTTAAATTCAAATAATGACTAATTTAACCTCTAATCTATGACAAATATAAGAAATTAAAAAACCCGAGCCGAAAAAAAAAAAAACACCAAAACTAATAAAAAAATTAGATAAAACCGAACGAAAGTAAATAGTAATTTTAATTTGATTTTCGGTTTCGATAAAAAAAAAGGAAGCGATTGAAACCTGACTAAAACCTGTCAGAGTTTGATGGCTGTTTTAGTTTCATTGACCGGTGAGACCCAATTCATTCAGTGTGTATGCAGTTGTAGTAAAGGGTCATTGAAGCTACCTCTTGAAGCCCAACAATGGCTCTCTTCTCAGCTCTGCAACCATTCGCCTGGTACTCCTGCAACTCTCACTCCATGGATATGGCCTTTCTCCTTCGTGGGCTTTCTTCAAATGGGTTGAATCACTTCCCACTTTCAACCACTCCTTGCATTGCTCTTGGACTATGATTCACATCCTCACCAAGCACACCCCCTTCAATCCTGCACACCAACTGCTTGAGAAAATTTCCCTTAAGAATTTCTTGTCCTCTCCCTCGGTTTTGAATGCTTTGGTTCAGACCCATGACGACCCTGATGTGAATTCACATGTTTTGAGCTGGCTTGTGATCTTTTATGCTAATTCTAAGATGACCCAAGATGCGATTCAGGTTTTGGGGCACATGAGGGTTCATGGGTTTAAGCCCCCCTTGCACGCTTGTACTGTCTTGTTGAGTTCTTTGGTTAAAGATAGGTTGACGAACATGGTGTGGAAAGTTTACCAGAATATGATCAAGGCCGGGATGTTCATTTGTACAATGTGTTGATTCATGCTTGTTGCAAGTCTGGGGGGTGTAGAGAAGGCAGAGAGTTTGCTGAGTGAGATGGAATTCAAGTGTGTCTTTCCTGATCTTTTCACATACAATACGTTGATATCACTGTATTCTAAAAGGGGTATGCACTATGAAGCTTTGTCTGTTAGAGATAGAATGGAAAGAGCAGGAGTTACCCCTGATATGGTGACGTACAATTCACTTATGTATGCGTTTTGTAGAGAAGGTAGGATGAGGTAGGCTGTAAGACTTTTCCGTGAAATCAAAGGTGCTACTCCGAACCATATAACTTACCTCACATTAATTGATGGGTATTGTAGAGTGAATGACCTGGAAGAATCTTTAAGATTGTGTGAGGTAATGAAGGCCAAGGGACTCTATCCAGGAGTTGTTAATTATAATTCAATTCTTCGCAAGTTGTACGAAGAAAGCAGGATGAGGGATGCAAATAAACTTTTGAATGAGATGAGTGAAAGGAATGTTGAACCTGACAATGTCACATGTAACACATTGATTAATGCTTATTGTAAGATACAAGATATGAGGTCTGGTGTCAATGTGAAGGATAGGATGTTGGCAGCTGGACTGCAGCTGGATGAGTTTACATATAAAGCACTTGTTAATGGATTTTGCAAGGTTCTGGAGATGGACAGTGCTAAAGATATTTTATTTGCCATGCTTGATGTGGGAATTTATGCTAGTTATTGCCCCTATACATGGATTATAGATGGTTACTGTAACCAAGAGAATGAAGCAGTTATAAGAGTTCCAGATGAGAAGGTTATGTAAACAAGAAAGGGTTGATAGTGCTGAAAAGGTTTTCAGTCTTATGCAAGAGAAAGGTATATCAGGAGACAGTGTAATATATACTAGTCTTGCATATGCTTACTTGAAAGCAGGAAAGTCGAGTGTAGTTTCAGCGATGTTAGACGAAATGTACAAGTGGAGGTTGATGGTTACACGCAAGATCTATAGATCTTTCAGTGCTTCTTATGCCAGTGATTATGATATACGCTTATTTTGGGATCATATGATTGAGAGGCCGAATGTCAAAAAATGTTATTATTAAGGAAGTGCCACAAAACATAAATGAACGATGCAGATGTTGCTGCGAGTTTGATTATAGGCTCAATGTTTTCATGCTATAACACAAACCTCTCTGCCTCTCTTAAAGGTGTTGGAGACTGTTATTGACTTGTGGCACCGGAAGGTATATGGATTCCTGGAGAAGCTAAGAGACAGTGATAAGTGCTTGTAGCATAGTAATTTTTCTTGTAAGTCAGGCTTTTTATTGTCTCTCAAAAATTGATGACCAAGTAAGTGTGTGACATTTTATCATATGCTTTAGTGGGATTTCAATCAGGAAATGGTCTCGTAATGCCTCTTTTATCTATTGGAATGGTTCTATACTCCCATCTAGATCTACTTTACAGATATACTGATTTTGCTCGTGGTTTAATCATGTTGGGGGGGGGGGGGGGGTTAAATTATACTCGGAAAGCATCTGTTTGGGCTGTTCTGTGGAGATGTGCATCCTTCCATGAGTGGGACAATTGACTTGCATTTTCCAAAGCATCAAGTCGAGGTGTAGGCTGAACAGAAAAATATGTGGAATGGGGGTCTTCAAAATCATGTGACAGATGATTTGTATGTAAGTGCTGAAGACCAAGTAGTTTAAGAATCCATCATGCTGCAGTTTTAAACTGAAACTACTTCAGCGCTTCTGGTTTGGCACATGCGAAGCTCAAGCGATGAATTCTAGCTACATTGTTTATAGGTTAGTGATATTTCTATATCTTTCATTTTCTTCTATCCGTTAGAAATAAATTTAGAAAGAAAATTAGAATCGGAATCTTATGAACTGGGATTGGCTCAGCCGTTTTTGTTTCTGATTGCCAAACAAATAAATAGAGAATATTGCACAACAAATAACATAACCTGGTTACAGTAGTTGTTTTTTTCTTGGTCTGAGGTCTTATTAGTCATTGCTGTTACTGATATGTTGAACAAGACTTGTGCCAAGCTAAAACCGTTTAAGGAAAAAAGTTCTTTAGAGAACACTCCGTAGGAAAAGCTCTGTGTTTTGGCACAAAGTTTTTGAAGCACAAGGTCACAACCTAGGTTTGAGTCAATATTTCCACAGTTGCCTAGACTCCAGTAATATTTTGTAATTGATGGAACAATTCGCTTACATTATATATTTTCTCAAATGCCTTTTTGGATCTTTCATTTTTTCTCAGGATCGTCTGATTCATATACACAGTTACAAAGATAAATTTCGACAATCACTTCAGTCCTAGATAAAAAGGGTCAGTGTGATACTAGTAGGAAAACAAAAAAAAACCACAAAGAATGTTTACACCAACCAAAATCCCTCTTAGTGCGCACACACCAATTATTTTTGTGCCTAAAAACCCTCTAGCGCAGCTGCTAGTGCAAAAATTTCATAATCCGAACAAATGCAACCGTGACCATGACCACTTTCACAACCACACTCATCCCATCTTTTCAACCTCCTGTTTCTTTGCCTCTTTTTCTCCATTTCCACATGATCTGCTTGAACTTGAATCTTGATTCCTACTTGCAGTTTAGGCGGTTTGACACCTTCTAGAGCATGCGCAGTTGTTGGAAGCACCGTGACCCACTGGTCCAACTCCATGCTTGGTGATTCAAGGATGTCCTTCCACGGAACCTCTGCCCTGCCCAAGAGTTGTGACCCTCCAATCCTGCCAAAAACCGGCACAGTGCTCCTCCAGCGGAGCTCGAAAACCACACTTTCTTGCTGTAGGGTGTTGTCCATGGAGCGCATCTCGGTTCCAGAGCACTCCAAAGAGACAGACTCATTCCAAACGTGGTTGGACTTGGCGGAGATTTCTCTAGTGTTGAGCATAATTCTTCTGTTGTTTCCTGCTGAAAGAGAGTATCGAACAAAGAGGTTTCCTGTGGTCTTGAATTCGATGTTTTTTGCTTGCATAACCTTCAGTTCACAGCTAAGGGAAGAAAAGTTTGAAGGAGTCATTGTATGTGTTTGAGAGTTGTAGATAGATAAAGAGAGTGCTGATGGATGCTTTGGTGAAGGGAAGGTGGGTTATATATAGTGTATGGGATATTGGAGGGAAGGTGGAATTGCTTTTTGAGGAAGCTGCTTTTACTCATTAAAGTAATACTAATAATGTGCAAGATCAATGTGCAAGATCATAAATGGAGTATTATAAATTTTAGTGTTATCTGCTTCATATTGGGGAATCATGAGAGATTGAGTGGAAGATTATGATGAGTTATTTTAAGCCCCTTGAGATTCTTGAAGAGCTGGATTTCATATAAACGACCCTTGCTACTACTTGCTACTTGCAACACTAGGATTGGCTTACACTACAGTGCTTTTGGACCTGCCACATGTACATGCAAATATATAAATTATGGAATGTGCTTGTGCTATATGCTATGTGGTTTGTTCTTCCACTGCAAGATCATTTTGATTTCTTCATCAGACCCTGCATCGTTCTTCTGGGATTTGCTAATAAATTGATCATAACTTACCTTTTTACATGGGAATACTTTGATCCACAACTTATGTTTTGTTTTTGCACCTCTAGACTCATGATTTGTAAAGAGACCGTTTGAGTACCATTCTGTTTTCTGTTTTCAATTTCAGTTCAACATTTTTTTTTTGTTTGAAAAGTTGAAATGCGTTCGGTAACTGCTTGCAGTTATAAAAAAAAAATGTCTGAAAGCTACAAGCCTGTTTGATAATTATTTGGTTTGTTATGATTTTTTGTTTGAGATATTGAAAAAGTATATTGTTGAAATGAGAAATGAATAAGAGCGGACGAAATATAGAGGGAGATATGTAAAAGAAATGTATAAGGGTACAAAAAAAGAAAACAAGAAACCTAAAATTAATTCAAGTTTGCTTTCACTTTTAGTTTTCATCCATTTTTCTTTATTTCTTTTCCTCCATCCCATTACCATTCTTCATTTCTCTCCTTTTATACTTTCCACATATTTCAAACACAAAAACAAAAAGTATAAAAACTAAAGGGAGTTTCTGAACTTTATTCTTTGTATAAGAGTGGGTTTGATTGTGAGTTTGTGTCGTGTCCGAGTTACTGTGTTTAATATAACACCATGCTTCCAAGCTTAACAACCAATTTGAGATTGATACACATTTGACCCACTATGTGATGGTCCCACGTGAAGGAGGCATTTCATATAAAGCCCCCACTTTTTCTACCGTTTTGTTCTAATCGCTAGATGCAAGTTGAGAGAAAGCATTGGTGTGGTTAAGAGTGGACTGACCCATCTCTTAGAATATCCAACATTGATTTGATTTGATAAGTGAATTTTCTCCAAAAAGATAGATAATATATAAACTATAAGTGGTCTCAAACTCACATATTTTCAATGTTTGATCCTAGACTCTTGCCATTGGTTATGGACAACTTTAAAGATCGCCTTAGATTGTCTTAAATTGGGTTTGACACTAGCTAGAAACTTATGGTGCTAAATATTTATCTATATACAATATACAAATCTACAACTAGAAAAATAAAGCACCATAACACTTGAGTGGGCAAATAAAAACTTGAACAAAATCGAGTATGCAAGAAGATTTAACTTTACAACGCACAAGGCTTGATTAAAGATAGTATTGAAAATACTGACTGACCAGGATCGCCACTTTACTTGGTTATATAATGAATAGGTTTAACACAAAGAAGATTCCAGTTGTTCATCCTTTGGATTTTAAGATAACAGTATCTTATCCACCTTTGGATTTTAAGGTCCGTGGGAATGTAGTACCTTGGCTCAAACAGTTCGAATCATCTTTTGCTCGTTCAAGCTTAGTTCATAAGTGAAAAGAGACGGGCTTGAACAAAGTATTAGGCTGGTTAGAAAATTTAGCCAAGCTTAAGTTTTATTATGTTCGGCTAGTAAAGCTCGTGAACCATTGCGCCTGATTTTTCTACTTCACTTAGGTTTTGTCTCTTTAGGTATTCCAAGCAAGGTTTTATTAGGGCATTTATCATTGGTTGGTGGACATCCAAGAGGGAGTGTTGCAAATACTATTAATTATGTGGTTGTCCACATGGAGCCAATGTGTAATATGTAATTTATGGAGCCAATGTGTAATATGTAATTTGTTAGTACTCAGTCTATGTAAGTCCTTAGCCTATAAATAGGCACCTTCATTTGCGGACCTACTGTTTGGACCTAAAATAACAGTTTGGGCTAAGATGGGTTGACCCGAGTTGAAAATGCCACAATCCTTGCCCCAGTAAATATCCTTCGCCAATGGGCTTTTAGCCCAAAATGGGGTTAGTTCGGCCGAGTCCTCATGGAAATAGGATTGTGAGAGGATTAAGTACAGGTGTAGCTCGGTCGAGTCCTATGCAAACTAAAATTGCCAAGAAACAGAATAAACCTTGGATAAATATGAACCATCCCAGCGATCAGAGTGCCTACGTGATCAGATAAAAATGAATAGGTTGCATAATTGGATCAAATGCAAATCCTAGTTAGAGTCAAAGAGGGCGAGACTGGATGAATTTTTTGCTAAGAAGGAAATTAAAGAGATAAGTGGAATATTCAAGTAAATGCTGATGTAAACACAGTCCCATACTGACTCTGCCTTGACAGGCTTGTTTATTATGGAAGCCTCGCCTATAAGTAGAGAAGGCCCTGCAATGTTGAAAGTCCCTTCAACTCAACATACAAACACCTCATACTTTCTACGCGAAACATTCTCACAACCTTGAGAAACAAATACTAATTATCCTAAATCCCTCCCCTCCTGGCCAACACATTTAGTTTGTTGGAACATCACTGGGTTGGCAACTAGCAACATATTCAGTTTGTTAGAATATCACTGAAGTCATAGAACTAATTGCTCTAGAACCTTTAGGTCGTCGAAACAACACTACTTCTAGTTTAGTCGGTTATATATCCAAGTCTTTTCCATCGAAGAATCTTGGATTCTTTCGCCAAAAGAGGTCGTTTTATTAGCTTCCTAGCAAAATGAAGTGTTATATGATTGGTTACTCTCAGGTGTATTTTGTAGTTCGGCGTTCAGATGGTCGAACCATGTTCACCATAAAAAATATCATCTCCTTTAAGTACCTATTAGCCTGATACTGATTCGACGCACTTATATTCTCACGAATATAGCCGAGGCAGTCGAACTTGGTGTAGAAGATCCTAAACTTTGCAGTGAACTAGGCAACCTTTCTACAACCCAAGGTCGAGACGTGTTTCTTCCTTGGCCATAGTTGCTCAAGTGTAGAAGTCAGCAGAGCACTCGACACTACCACCACATCTATTCTACTCGCCCCATAAAACTTGGTTGCGAATTGGCACAGCCAAATTCACAAGAAGATCCTAGTTAACTCATAATTACTTACCCTACCCGCCATGTAGGTTTTATAATTTTTAGGGTTGACTCGACATTTTAACACACTCGGTGGGACCATTGCTAAGATAACTACAGAGTTCCATAGTCTTAATTAATGAGATTCATGTCATCGACATAGATTGCAAATCTAGCAGGTTTAGAATACTTACGCAAGGGCATTGTTTATTCTTGCATTTCTAACTGATCAAATAATCACTTACGAGTATATAACATCCACCTCGTTTGCTTCAATTTGTAAAGTGAATGCCACAAATGGGTTTAAAGGGTGTTTCGTGGTCTAGAACTATTTGAACCAATCTGTGTAATTCTTCGAAAATTACATGTAAATCTCCGTATTCCTATACCCATGGAGAAAGGCTAACAACATTCATACTGTTGCAATCAACCATAGGGCGTATGAGAGAAAACTTGCACCATAAGGCATGTATTACATCGCACTATTTCATTCATATCATTACACTTTCTTTCCCACTTGTAACACAACAATGTTGCCTTGGGAAGCGTAGGAACAATAGGTCCAAACACTCTTTGATAAGGAATCTAATTCAATCTAGATTTGAATTTCAACAATCAATTCTACGTTGTCATTAATTGATATTGTCGTTTTTCATTTACGTCAGTAGCTACAATATAAGTGAAACATCATCGATGCTTTAATCTGATGGGACCCTTTCATAAAATAATAATAATAATACATCTGTTATGAATTATGAATTTAGATATTGCATGACCATTAGGGATGAATTTGTCTGCTTTAATAAATAACATTTAAGCTCTCATCATGTTTTCGAGTGTGTCATTTCATTTTCTTTGTTTTCTTGGCCATAAATGAGGAACCTTGTATTGATTATCCTTATTTATGGAAAGTACTCCATAACATTTGAATAGCTTAAAGATCATTTATTTTAACTGCTCTGATTTCTTTGTTTGGATGAGTTAGGGAAGTTGGTTATATTTTATTGACACTTACTTTTCCATTTGGAGCATGGAATTTGATTCAAAAGCATGAGTTAGGGAAGTTGGTAAATTGTTTATGTTCTTTGAAATTTTCCATAATTATGAGTGTGCACTGCACATTGGTTAATTTTTTTTTAAATTTAAACCAAGAAGTTTGCAAGCTTGTAGCAATTGACCACGTTGGGATTACATTAGCGGACATCAGATGGGTCAAGATGTTGAGTAAAGTCTCCATCATCCCGGATGGTGCTGATAGAAAGCTCCGGGCGCCAGGGCCAGAAAGTCCAGGCTGGATTGTAAGAAGTGGGCGACCCGTTTTTGTATTCCTATGAGAAGCTCTAATATCAATATTTTTTCTAATAAACCTTCAAACATGTGTTTTCTTTTATATTAGCTTATTTTGTATCATAATTTTCCGCAATCATCTCTGGATGCTGATAGACTAATATCAAACTGTTAAATTTGTTTATACCATACTTAGAGCCTTCGTATTTAGATCTCGTATAAATACTCGGGGGACTCAAATGTAATTATGTAATAAAGGAAGGGGCAAATATGTAATAAGTGAGGAGCCCTTACTCTATAAAAGGACTCCTCACTCTCCTCATTGGGGAGGCCAATTCTTAGGCCACACCCTCACCCTCTCAGAGCTCTCATCCTCATAGAGAAGCTCCCTCTCTCCTTCACAATCTCCTCAGAGAAATACAATAATCAGTGTGGACGTAGCCCAAACATTGGGGTGAACCACGATACATCTTGTGTTATTTACTTTCTTGCAGATTCACGGTCGGATTTACGTTGTTCCAAGACCCCTCCGGTTTTGTGCATCAACATTTGGTGCCGTCTGTGGGAAACGACACAAAAAATCATGTCGGTTCTGTTTCATTTTTTCACCTCCGCCGTGAATCTGCAAAATTTGCAAAAAACACTAAACCTAGAATCCGTCCCTCTCCGAAATCCAAAGTTTCAACACAGCTGGATCCAGCCGCAATGAGAAAACCCAAATCGAAGTGCTCCTGCAAGCAAAAGGACCTTTTAGAGCTCTAGGAAATCGAGCTTCTAAATTCATGGATCGAATCCCAGAAACCCGATTGTGGCTCCAACCCCATGTCTCTCCCCGCCTTGCCCTCCGACGCCCCAGTCGGCTGTCTCGGTGACACCTTCTATTCTCCATACGCCGGCACCACCAGATTTGAGCAGCTGCCCGTCTCTAAGAAGACAAAGGACGCCCTGCGCCAGTGCAAGTACGTTGAAATGACAGATTCACTTTTCAGTTGGTCGGGCTCTGAGTTTTCTCTCTCTCTCCAAACCGACGTAATGTTCCGATTGCCGGTTTGCTTCTTAGACGTACGATGGACGTGCATGAGTTGGGGTTTCTGGGGTTTTTTTCGATCGTTTCTGATCGTTGATCAGTCTCTGTTTAATGGGTTATTCGTATCTGTTTGTTCTGACCTCTGGGTTTCTTGTTTAAACACTGTTAATTCTGAGGATCCTATCATGGATAACAATAAAGATGTTGGCAGCGACTTTGACTCTTATGTCATTGCGGGCTGGCAGCGCTTGTGGAGGCGATTGAGGATGGGTCGGTGAAGGGAAATGAGTTTGTGGTGTTGGCACTGTTGCAGCTGTGCACTGAGAGTGTGAGGAATAGAGGTTTACTTGTGAGAGAATCTGGAATGATCAAAAGCAGAAAGCAGAAAAACAAAAGCAATCAAGTGAGCTACGGCACAAAAGCAAAAGAGAGAGGCGCAGGGGAAAACCAAGCAGAAGATAAGCTGTCTTACAACAATTCCATTATTATTCCACTTTGGCGTTGTCTGCCATCTGCCAAAAGAGAAAAGAGAAAGAAATGGAATGGGAAAAGCAAAAGCAAAGCAGAAAAACAAAAGCAAGGAATAAACACCCACACTGCAAAAGCAAGGAATAAACACCCCACCAGAATGATGTGATTTACTTTTCTAATCTTTGAATGATGTAATTTACTTTTCTTACTTTGTGGAGACATCTATATAAACCCCATCAGAGGGTAATAAAAAAAAAAAAGAAAAAGGCAAGCCCAAAATAATGGGCTAGAATGTTGTGTGGAGGGTGAAGGCCCATATGCCTAAAAGAGCCAGGCCCTCTATTATCACCAACCAGGTGATTACCACCAACCAGGTGATCAAAAGTACGCCCAGTACTCCAAAATTATTCGGCACCTTGCCGTTATTATCACCAACCAGGTGATCAAAAGTACGCTCAGTACTCCAAAATTATTCGGCACCCTACCGCTATTATCACCAACCAGGTGATCAAAATTATGCCCAGTACTCCAAAATTATTCGGCAGCCTGCCGCTATTATCACCAACTAGGTGATCAAAAGTACGTCCAGTACTCCAAAAATATACTTAAGCATCACTCATGTCAATCATACATAAACATTCATGAGCATCACTCATGTCAATCATACATAAACATTCATGACCATCATTCATGTCAACATTCATGAGCATCACTTATGTCAACATCCATGAGCATCACTTATGTCAATCAACATAAACATTCATGAGCATCACTCATGTCAATCAGCTTCGAAAGCTTCATTTACAAAGCTCTAGCTTCAAAAGCTTAATTTACCAAAGCTCCAGCTTCGAAAGATTCATTTACAGAGCTCTAGCTTCAAAAGCTTCATTTACAAAAGCTCCAGCTTCGAAAGCTTCATTTTCAGAGCTCTAGCTTCAAAGCTTCACTTGCAAAGCTTCACCTACAAAGCTTTAGTGCAGGGTATACAAATACCGCATCTGAACAGCTGCCATTTCGGCCCATACATGGATTCAATTTGAAGTCTCCAGCCAACAAACTCTATTGACTAAAGACTTGGGGGACTACTTTATGTACCATATATTGGGCCTCATGAAAAATACTTGGGGGACTTAGCCCATTATTTATGTACTGAGGAGCGAGCCCTTATTCTATAAAAGGGACTCCCTCACTTTCATTAGAAAACACCCATCGCTTATGTATTGAGGAGCGAGTCCTTATTTTATAAAAGGGACTCCCTCCTCTTCATTAGAAAGCATCGCCGCCAGCTGAGCAACCGCCTTGACGCGAGCATCACTCCTAGCCCATCATTTATGTATTGAGGAGCGAGCCCTTATTCTATAAAAGGGACTCCCTCACTTTCATTAGAAAGCACCCATCACTTATGTACTGAGGAGCGAGCCCTTATTTTATAAAAGGGACTCCATCCTCTTCATTAGAGAGCATCGTCGCCAGCTGAGCAACCGCCTCGCCGCGAGCATCAACTCTAGCCCATCATTTATGTATTGAGGAGCGAGCCCTTATTCTATAAAAGAGACTCCCTCACCATCATTAGAAAGCATTAACTCTAGCCCATCATTTATGTATTGAGGAACGAGCTCTTATTCTATAAAAGGGACTCCCTCACCTTCAACGTCACAAGCTGAGCCAACGAAGGCAACATAAGCCACAAGCAGAGCAGCCTCGCAACATATGCTACTTCTAGTTGAGCATCATTTCAGATTGAGCACCGCTTCATATCGAGTATCAGTCCTAGACGACATCTAGTTACTTCGGCCCACACATGGACTGAATTTCAAGTCTTCAGCCAAAAGACTCTTTTGACTGAAGACTTGGGGGACAACTGTTTATACCATACTTAGGGCCTTCGTATTTAGATCTCGTATAAATACTCGGGGGACTTAAATGTAATTATGTAATAAGGGAAGGGGCAAATTTGTAATAAGTAAGGAGCCCTTATTCTATAAAAGGACTCCTCACTCTCCTCATTGGGGGAGACTAATTCTTAGGCCACACCCTCACCCTCTCAGAGCTCTCATCCTCATAGAGAAGCTCCCTCTCTCCCTCACAATCTCCTCAGAGAAATACAATAATTAGTGTGGACGTAGCCCAAACATTGGGGTGAACCACAATGTATCTTGTGTTATTTACTTTTTTGCAGATTCACGGTCGGATTTACGTTGTTCCAAGACCCCTCCGGTTTTGTGCATCAACAAAATCTATAATTTCTTAAGTACTTTGGATTTTATTTCTATTTTCGATTGTGAAACAAATAAAGATTTCAGTCATTTGACAACAAAAAAATTTGTGGGTGTCTTCGCACAAAACTTGACCATTTGAAATTTCAATCATTTACTTAGTTTCACGTTTGCTATTTAATTGATTTTTCATTTCTCTGGGTAGGGAATAGTCTAGTTGATACGAAGGAGGAGGGGAAGACATCTGCAATTAGTTGAATACGAATCTACCTGTATATAACCAATACTATCATTTTAAACGATCTTAAAATCCGTAGTATCGCCCATACTTTTTTGCTAGTATAAGCTACTGAACTACACTTTTAGACCTAAATTTCAGAACCCCAAATAAATTTTTGCTGAATTGTTTGACACTTTGAAGGTTTCCACTCCTCTTCTGATGCCATCATTGACTATATGGATGCTTTTTCCAAGTTCAGAAAATTCATAATCAATATAGGGTGCCAAAATTGGCGGTGTACGTAAACAATTAAAAATGTGCGTCCGGCCTCAGTGGACCATGTTGAACAACAATAGAACCGGAAAAGGATTCTCGCCATATCCTTTTTGTAAAGTGACACACCCCGATCGGAGTCTAGACGTGTTGGTCGTCAAGTAAGGGTGACGTAACCAAGTGCGAACAGAAGTGATACTTATAAACAGAAGGGTGAGTGGGCAAAAACAAAGCTTTAGAAAAACACATTTATCTTTATGAACATAATAACCCCTCTCCGTAAAGCCCGTATAATTTCCAGGAAATAGTAATATGCACGTATATAAAAACAATGTTCAAGAGCAGTGAAAACAGAATTATGCCATGTCATAACGTTCAGCACTAAAATATGTAAGCCAGGTGAAACGTCGATATAAATTAGCATGCCAGCTGGAGTCACCTAACGTGACCTGTACAACTAGATCTATAGCTCATCAACATATGTTTGCACACGAGTTGGAGTCACGTAATGTGACATGTACAACAGGCTGGGTGTAAATAAGTACACTTAAGTGCTACGATCACATGAAACCTATGCGATAGATCGCGGGTCACCCACGAGTCGGAACCACCTATTATGGTCTGTATGACAGGCTAACACCAAAACTTGGATCTAAGGTGAGCGTGCGGTGCGGGAGGTGAACAATCACGTGAAAGCTGTGCCCTGGCCTCGAGCAGGAGCACTAACACCGGGGTGCAGCATAATAAGCTCTAAATGCATAAATGCATAGCAATATGCAATGCAACAAGACCCATCACATGCTAACTCATCTGAAGCTTACCTGAGCCTCCGCAGCATCAATTAGTATAATTCACAATTCATACTAATGCAACAATATAGTAAAAAGCGGTATAGACATGGCATACAAGACATAAATTCATTTAAAAATATTTTTGGAAATCATAAAGCATTTATATATATATATATATATATATATATAGAGAGAGAGAGAGAGAGAGAGAGAGAGAGAGAGAGAGAGAGAGAGAGAAAACAAATGCTTGCTCACTGATAAGAAGCAGGATCGTAGCCCCCTAGCCTTGCTTGTCCACGCTCATCCTCGGGGTACGTCTCACCTATATGCGAAATAACCAATTTAACATTAATTCGATAGCACATAAACAAAATCTAGGATTAATTCCTCATACGTTGCTCAAATGGGACGTTTGAATATGCCAACGTGATCTACTCGACAACACGAACACCCTCATATTTTTAGAAATTTTTTTGGATGTCGGATGCGCCCTCACGTGATGGCCAGCACGTCTCAACTCCGGTCGGGGTGTGTCATAAAGAAAAATTTCATTGTGATCGGAATACAGGTGGTACATTACGTGTTTTTATATATATATAGTGAAAAAGTATATTTTTTTTAAGTTTCCCACCATTTGTATAATGACACGTGGTGTACCATTCCGTGTTCTGGTCACATTGAAAACTTTTTCCTTTCCTTGAGGATTCGGGGGATCCCTTTATCATGATCGTACATCGTGCAGTCAGTTTTCGTTAAGTACTATTTATATTTAATTTTAAATTTTAAATTTTAAACAATTTCTGACGATGTATGATGAATTATTATGATCATGGGATTCTTCGGATCCCTAGAAAAAAGATCGGATCCTTTTCCAATAGAACCAAAATACATTGATGTCATGAAGCATCAATCCAAGTAATTTCAGAATATTAAAACAGAAAATAGCAGGTTTTTGCTGTATTTTATATTAAAATATTGAAGCAATTGGATCAACCATTTCCCAGCTGAACCTGCATCAGATCAAACAAGTTGAAATTTCTCTTTGTTTCTTGCGTTTCTTCATGTTTTCTCAATATCAAAGACCTCCCTCTCTAATCAAGAGCGGTGGTTTCCTCTTTCTCTTTCTCTTTCTCTTTCTCTTTTTCTTTCTATCAGCTGTTTGGCTCATCTTTTGTTATCCATTCTCTCACACTGAAAATCTTATCCCACAACTACAACATGAATTACCACAACAACATCAGCACGAGCACCCTCTTCCTAACAAAACCCACCACCGCCACGACGGCGACATTAGAACAAGCAATTCACAATTGACTACAGCTGCCACTTGCGACAAAACATTTCAGTGTACGTATACAATTTGCCGGCAGAGTTCAACTTCGGCCTCCTTGATCACTGCCACAACCTAAACGTGCACACGGACATGTGTCCCCATGTGGCAAACTCCGGACTCGGCCAGCCACTTTTCAACAACAGCGGCGGCTGGTTCGCCACCAACCAGTTCACAGCTGAGATGATTTTCCACGCACGCGTCGAAAACCATCCCTGTCGCACGTGGGATCCCGCACGTGCTACCCTCTTCTACGTACCTTACTACGGCGGCCTTCACGTTTCGAACAAGTTCCGCGAACGGAACCTGACGGCTCGAGATGAGCTGGACGTCAGTCTCGTTGACTTTATTCAATCCCAGCCTTGGTGGCAAAAGCATAATGGTAAGGACCATTTTATGGCCCTAGGGAGGATCGTACGGGATTTTACCCGGAACAGCGGCGACCGCGACTATGGAGCCGGCCGTCTTCTAAATTTTCCGGCTGTAAAAACCATGTCGTTCTTGATCATAGAAAGACATCCGAGCAATGGGACAAACCAGTACGGTATACCCTACCCTTCTTATTTTCACCCGTCCACGTGGCGGGAAATGATAAGGTGGCAGAACAAGGTGAGGAGATTCAAGCGACCCTACTTGTTTTCCTTCATTGGCGCGCCCCGAAGGAAGGCGGCAATTAGGAACCAATTTATAAGGCAATGCGGTGAGTCGGCTCGCTGCAATCTCTTGAACTGCGGGACGCCGGACGGGCGTAGCAAGTGCAGGCAGCCAAGTGAGGTGCTGAGGGTGATGACGGAGTCCAGGTTCTGCTTGCAAGCACCGGGTGACTCGTTCACACGGCGGTCGACGTTTGACTCGGTGCTTGCGGGTTGCATACCTGTTTTCTTCTCGCCCCACTCGGCGTACACGCAGTATGCGTGGTTTTTACCGGAGGATAGAAGCTCCTACTCGGTTTACATAGATGAGAAGAGCAAAGCAGCTAGAAGAATAGAGAAGGAGCTCATGAAAGTTTCGAGCAAGAAGGTGATGATGATGCGTGAAAAGCTTATAGATTTAATCCCAAGTCTCACGTATGCTCACCCCAATGGGACTAATTTTGGGTTTGGGGATGCAGTTGATGTTGCACTTGTATCATTGGCCAAGCATGTCAATATAATCATTATCTGATTGTTGAGTTATTACTGGTAGTGGTAAAGGAGTTATTTCATCTGCGATGTAACTAAGAAATTTATGGGGACAATTTTATTTGGGGAAGGATTAAGGATTAATACCCCTCACTTGTATAACAAGCTTTAAAACTAATTTTGACCTCTTTATTGAAGTTGTTTACAAGTTTGGACAATGCTAGGCATTTTTTCTATTTGTCTTTTTTACTTATCTTTTCTACTCACCAAGTGAATCGTACAACTGTGTATTTTTCTTTAATGTAATGAGATTATTTATATTAAGCAAGGTCGACACACCCCGATCCGGAATGTCCACTAGGACTCCGAATCGAGCTGTGCTGGCTGACACCTGGAAGGTGACGAAGCCATAAAGTGTGATAATGTATAAAACGTGAATAAATTAAAACGTAAAAGTCCCTAACTACACGAGTGCGCGGTGAGTGGATATGGACACATTTCACGAGTGATATAGAGAATAGGTATAGTGTAGTAAGGTGAGATAATGATCATACCATCACAAGAAAACATCTGTACCAAAAAGTGCCACGAATCCTCGTCGATATAGAACTTTGCTACTAGAACCTGGAAGGGTACAAAAATAGAAAATGTGAGTGAGTGAAACAAAACTTTTCAAACCAATTCCTACTACCAAAGGCAGTAGCCCCTCACCATAATACCTGTATAATTTCCCGGAAATAACAGGCGTGACTATAAATTAATACCATAACCAAAATAATAGTCTCATAATTATATAGTGTCAAATATCTCAATAAGAATAAGTACTCAGGTGAAATAAATCAGTATGAAATGGCATATTAGCCTGATCCACCTATAGTGGCCTGTATGGCTGAATTAATAGCTCATTAACATGCTAGCCGGAGTCACCTCACGTGACCTGTACGACTTATCCATATCTCATCAATCAAGGCTAGCTCATAATTCGGAGTCAACTCTAGGGACCTGTACGACTTATCCATATCTCATCACATATGCTAGCTCATCACATATCTCATCATATATGCTAGCTCATCATATATTTCATCATATATGCTAGCTCATCACATATTTCATCATATATGCTAGCTCATCACATATTTCATCATATATGCTAGCTCATCACATATCTCATCATATATGCTAGCTTATCACATATCTCATTATATATGCTAGCTCATCACATATGTCATCATATATGATAGCTCCTCACATATCTCATCATATATGCTAGCTCGTCACATATTTCATCATATATGCTAGCTCATCACATATCTCATCATCATATATGCTAGCTCGTCACATATCTCATCATATATGCTAGCTCGTCACATATTTCATCATATATGCTAGCTCATCACATATCTCATCATCATATATGCTAGCTCGTCACATATTTCATCATATATGCTAGCTCATCACATATTTCATCATATATGCTAGCTCATAAGTCAGAGTCACCTCTAGTGACTTGTACGACTTATCCATAGCTCAATAAGTATACCTGCACACGAGTCGGAACCACCTAAAATGGTCTGTACGACAGGACTGGGTGTAAATAAATACGCTCAAGTGCTACGATCATGTGAAGACTGTGCGAATAATCGCAGGTCACCTACGAGTCGGAACCACCTATAGTGGTCTGTACGACAAGACTGTGCACCTATCTTTTATCCAAGGTGAGCGTAAGGTGTGGGAGGTGAACATCACATGAAGGACTGTGCCCTGGCCACGGGTCGAAGCACTAACACCGGGGTGCAGGTTTATGAGCTCTAACTGTATCTATTGTCACATATACGATTCATGGGCAACCTGTACGACATTGTCGGAGTTGCCTATCATTGCAACCTACACGACAAGGTTGGAGTTGCCTAAACATACATGTAGTCATACCATAACCCCATCATTTCAACTAATACCATAAACTCACCTGAACTTACCTGGGTGTCCTACGTTCACATTTGCACTTCAAAGCGTTCATAATAATTGTGTGCAGGTAATATACATATAGATAAACCACGATGAAATCTGATGTTCAACCACGTTATAGCATGTCCAATGATATACATACATACATACATACATATATATATATATTATGTGGCATAAAATTGCATGAACTATAACGCCCTACTCCCGAATGATTTATTTTCGGGAATAATTATCGTTGACAAGCCCAACTAGGCATTAGTTTAATTAATTATCATTACTTATGCTTCCTTACTTCAAATTCTTGATTCTTTACACATTGATTTATGACCAATATTTAACCATCAAATCACAAGGTTAAATCTCATATTTTCCACCAATGTCTCTCACACTGTTCAATTCCCTAAACAAGGCTATTGTCTCAATTATTGTATGGCTGCATCTAACGTCTCATTAGACTGCCTACGTACCCTAAATAGGGATCAAGCCATCCGTAGTTCATACTAGTACTTCAAAGCATTCACAGTAGTTATATGAAATAATCAATTTATAAACATTTGTGGAGATGTCAATCTTATATACGTATATATATGATAGAAGAGAAAAGACCTACTCACCTTAGGTCCACGCTACTCCTTCGCTCGAACATTGGGACATCATGAACTATCGTCGCCTGCGGCCAATTATCAAATGATATCAAATGACATCTCAATGTTCTTACCAATAGAGCATATAATTTACATAAAACATATCCTCAAGGACCTTCAAGAATAATTTGAGACCCATTGACTATCGACGATTGGGTCCACAATCCTGCAAAACTCGATCCGGAAGATCCACATCACGGATTTCCAATTCGTAAATTCTCATGATACATAATATGCTTCTAGAACAACATACTTAAGTTTCATTATGATCTAACGGTTGGATATCCGCCAATTTCCAAAACTGATTAGCGGTTAATGTTTTATTTTATGAACTTACAAATCCAATTTGGGAAGATCTGTATGTCGGATTTCCAATCCATAAGTTCCTACATTCTTCAAATATTACGTAATACAATGTAACAAAGTTTGGTGATGATCTAACAGTCGGATCGTTGATTCACCTGAATACCTAATAACGTATCGTAGAGAATTTAGGTTCTAACAATCAACCTATGTCATTCAAATATCAAAACTGAATTCAAGACATTTAACATAGCCTAAAAATAGCATTGCCGGAGAATTCAACTATTTCTAAAAATTCTCAAAAATTACGGAAATGAAGATCTCGAAGAGTAGAGCAAACTTTATACCTGCGGCCAAGGCCAATTTGGCTTGGAAAGTCTCTAATTTCACGAAAACCCATAGGAACCCTAGTTTTTGGGTATTTTCAATTCGACTCCATGGATGCTCCGACGCCTCTACCATCACTTGGGCTTTGTTCCTGAGGTTGATGGGAGCCTATTGGTAGTGACCATTGGCTCAGTTAGCTTCACAATTTGTGGATTGCCGCCAAACACCCACACGCACCACCGATGCCTTTCTCCTTAATCTAAGGTCAAATTGTATGAATTTAGGGGTAGAAATGGTAGAGAAAAGGCTAAGGAGGTGTTTCTAGGTGATGGTTTGGCTTAATTCACCGAAATTTGACCGGGAAACCATCTGTTTCTATGGTTCCCGTCAGCCGGGTCACACAGGTCAAGGAAGACCCGTTTTGGGTTCCCTTATTTTCTTCTACCCTCCTTTCCCTCCTAGTTATTCTCTCCCATTCGTCACTCTCCCTCTCTTCTCATTTCTGATTAGGCAGTACCCATCTCTTTCGTTGCCATCAGGCAGCCATCCCCCTTCCTTCTTCTTCTTTTATTTTCTCCCACAACCCTTTACATAAAAAAATAATATAATAATAAGAAATGAATAAGATAATAAATAACAATCCTTACCAACGTACTTTTGGAATATGGTAAGGTAATAGTTCATACGCGTCATGAACTAACGATCAACGAAAATCAATACCCTCGCCTCTAGGGTATTCTTGTAAATTTCACATTTTAAGATTTATAAAATAATAAAATTTGAGACGGGTTGTCACAATCAACCCACCTTAAAGAATTTTGTCCCCGAAATTTAAAATCATTGTTATACCACACTCGAAAATAGGAGTATAAGATATACATACGTAAAGCAGAAATCAATTTAGAACGTTTGTGCTAAAGGGAAAATAACATTCCGTCGCGGTCAAAATGTAACTATTCCTCTTTCATGTTTCCAGGCTTATACTTTCTTCCTTCCAATATATATAGTGGTATGACACTCGTATAATTAAAATAATGTAGTAAGAAGATAGTTGCACGAACAAATCAAAGTCCAAAATGAAAATGGACCTCGCCAAACATTCGTCGTGTCACGAATTCCGCTAATGAGTCCGAACCATAGCTAACTAGTAAATATTGCCGAAAATGAGCGGTCTTGCCTACTTGCTTAGTGAATCTAACATTCGACCATTGTCATTTAAACCTACAGCCCGTAACATCGATAACTTATCGTCATCTCAACAACTAGTGAGAAGTTCCTGAGGATACCAAAATATCATTTTGTTCATCCTGAACAGTTTGTCCCTATTCGAAATGATATGGGAAATAGACTAGTGACTCAAAATCAATCCAATTACCTTTAATACCAGGAGGTGAATTTGAGAGCACAAACATAACTGACGCAGACTAAAATATCAAGGAGTTGAAAATTTTCAAAAATGAATTACGCCGGAAGACTGAACAATTCTGTTATTGCCTCATACCAAGAAGTAGAAAGGTCGAATTTCAGAATGAACTAACAAGGTTTCTTGATGATCGAAAAGTAACACCACAATTTATTAAAACTACCAGGGACCAAAAGTAATTTCCCCAAAATGTTCTTCCATTGATTGCTACCACTTTAGAACCATCGTTGCGTAAGACCGTTCTAGAGTATTGACAATAATAGACTTTGCAGGAATTCTAATAGGTGATATTCGAACAGATACTACCAAAAATCAAAACTAGTTGAAATTTCCAATCTCAAAAGGATCAATACTAACGGCGGAAGAATAATGATAGAAGTATTTGGTAAGAAGTGTAACACGTGACACGATGAAATATAAATACACCAAGATGATAATCTTGTTGGGTTTCTGATTGGTTGAACTTGTATAAAGATCTAGAAGCAGCTTTCTCATAAGGGCATCATCCTCCAAAAGTAATCAGAGAAGAAACTGTGGTTATCCAGTTTGTTTGGTTTTTATTTCCTCAACA